CTCGTTGCGTACACTTATCCAGATTGGGAACTAGTGATTTAGAGGGGTTCTGACAAAGCGAATTTTCTCCCAAGAGCTGGAAATTTGTCTCAAATGAAAAGTTGCCCGCTGATGATAGTTATCCTTCAGAAATATGTCACTGTATTTGTTATCGATTTGTTCAAAAGATGAATAAACCATGACTGTCATCTCGAGAACACACAAAACATACAACAGTTATTACAATTAAATCACACACACAGACAGACACTATGTACACATTCTAATTTCTATTTGCAGACTGTGTGAAAAGTGCTGACGCCGACGGTTCTGGTTTGAAACTACTAATCCGATGCTCATTATGCCTAGGACGATTACGTATTAGTCATTAGATTTCAATTTAGACTTCAGTGAAATATAGATATTTTATATACATCTAGATTATACTTTTACTCCCTGTAATTACAAAAGATAATTAAATAAAAATAGACGCGCCTGTGCAATATTGTCCAACTGTTATTGCTGCTCCTGTTGTCTATAAAGTGAAGGAAACAGGAAGCAAATAAAGTGGAGATAGAATAATAAAATAGACTGCAGAAAAAACTTGCTTTGATACTTATCAACATATGTCGTTGCTTGGTTTGTCCGTGGTAAACACCTGTAGTAATTGTGAGTTTACGGATAGATTTATTTATCTGGGAAATTTTCGTTCTCTAAAGATATTTATAAAGCTTACATCACGGACAAAGTGATGTGTCCTTCCCCTTCTTCTTTGAGTGTTTTGGTTCATAGTTACCGTTTCATAATCTTATGTAGTAGTAATAACAATTATTCACGTATTAATTATATTATTATTATTATTATTAATATATTTTATTATACTACAAATTATCTTAATGAATCAAGATATATACAAATGTCGAACATAACATGGTTGACTCTAACAGTATTAAGAGTATTGCTAAAGATTATTTTCTGTTCTTCGCAAGTTTTCAACACTGACGTCTACATTGGTACGTTCGTTTAAATAACGCACTCTTCAGAGGCTATGTTCTCGGAGGCACCGGTGCAGAAAGTTCAAATAGTGCCCGCCCGTCCCCCACTTATCGGCCCCTTTGTATATGTGGTGACAGCTAAAATTTCACATTTTCCGGTTAGGAGATGAGTTAAATGCAATGTTCGTGAAGGATAACAGCAGTATTTCACTTATTCAATACAAATTCTTTGAATGTCATTGCTGCAAACCACAGGGGTAGAGTAGTTAATAGGAGGAGGTTATGACACGACGCTCCTCAAATTTACTGTTGTTTTACGACTCTCCTGAATAATGTGTTTCATTTTCATTCGCCACTAAGAAATTATCTAGTGCTGTTTCACTTGCCTGCGAAAATAATAACTTACAATATTATTGGAAAGAAATGTAACAGAAATGTGAGATATTGTTGAAATATTCGCTGACAACAATTCTTGCTTGAATTAAGCACAATTTCAATATTCGAAATATTTTAGAAATGGAGTAGTTAGAGACGTTTGTTCGGGGTATAAGTTCTTATGATGTGCACGAAATCAGATAGCGCGTGACGTCACGCGCCTAACCCTTCCCTTTCGAGTCTTCCGCCGTCACATGGCAGTAACTTAGGCATTTTCAGCGCGTCCCCTTCTTGCGTGCCGTCCACGCTGGCCGGAAGCCGCTCTGCCTTCCCCACGGCCCTCGCGCTGAGAGGCTGCGGCGTCTCTGGCGAAATCCTCTTTGCGAGGGAACCGCTTTGCACGCTCGTTTGACTGTCCGGGTGTATTTCCAGTCGGGAAGTGCTGTTTTAAGTTTGACGGTCCGTCCTCCCGCTTGTCGGGATCTTGTGAAATGTGGTCTTGTCCCTACAGGCTCACGATTTGGCAGGTTGTTTTTTTCCTTTGCGGGGAAGACTTTCGGTGGTAAATATGATTCCATCCAGTATCATAAGGTAAAACGGAAGTAATGGGAAAACACATAGTATATTTAAGAAACGAGAGAGAGAACGGAGAAAATATTATGGTAAACGTGTAAAGAAAATGTGAAAATGATTTGCCTGTGTCCTTGCACTATTAGTTACTACTTATAGTTTAAGTTATTAACAATTGTGAAACACATATAGACACATAGTAGCTGGATTATAATGGATCAAAAAACCTATTATTCTTGTAGATAGTTTTTTGGGCAATGTTATGAAGTGAATAAGTACTAAGAGTAAAACAGAGGTTTTCTTGTGCTTTTACTTGCATATAAAACTTTGGGTCACTTTCTTACCCGATCTTAACATTCCCAGTGAGGTATATTTTTCGGAGTTTTACTTTGTTTTGGGAAGAAAATGATGTAGGACAATAGAATTTCTCGTAGCTTAATTACAGTTCCATTTCAAAGAAGTTTTATCTAAACCTCAGTAATAAAATACTCGTTTCGTCAGTTATTTGAAAGGTGTAAGCTACCTCCATTTAATACAGTCTATGTCAACCTGACGAGGTCAGCTTTCTTGTCTGGGAAGTGTTAGCCCGAGAGCGTCGTGATCTTTTGAAACTAACGAGCATCTTTTCTGTTGCACTGTTACAAAAGATTGCGAGTTTATTCATAAAGGATGGAGAACGCCTTGTCGTGGAAATATTCAATCGAAGGATGGTACCTCGTAGGACCATGTAACCCCTGGTTCGCGATCGCGCAACAAGCACCGGGTGCGAGGAAGCGAAGACAATGCCGCAGATGGTGTCTGGGCAGGAGCGTGGTCTTGGGGGGGGGCGTGGGGTGGCGCGTGCGGGGAGAGGCCATGGTTGCGGTGTGGTGTTTGGTGAGTAGGGAGGGGCGCTTGGGGTGTGACGGGACATGGACCCAGGCGCACGTTGGCGGCAGAGGGGGGCGTGTTAGGAGAGAGCGCGCCGGGTGCGGTGTGGTGGCGCGGCGGCTGCCGAATCTTACCGAGAGGAGAGGAGGGGTGGGGGGGGAGGGGGGGGAGGGAAGGGGGATGGTGCCGGCTGCAGAGGCACGTGGATACGCACATATGTCTGAGTTAGCGCCACTCCCCGAGGTCCTCGCAGAGAGCGGCTCGCCTGACGGACCTCGCGGCCCCAGTGGCCCCGCTTCTCCTGCCCGCAGTGCTCTCCTCGCTTCGCCCTCGTGGCACATTTGAGGAGCTGCGCAAAAATGTATTGACTCGAAGACCAAGTGCAACGTATTTTGAAGTGGAAACTGGAATCAACATTTTCGATTTTATTTTATTGAAATGAATATTTTTAATTACCATTTCGAAGTACGCACGGAAAGTTTAAGTAATAATGAGTTTAAATGATTTAAATGGCTTATACCTTTTATTGTGTTGCTTATCCTCCCCAATTCGAGTATCTTGCTCATAGTAATTTCTTTTTACTGTTGGTTCTTAGAATTAAGTTGACAATTCCTTTTTTCTGAAGCCACAACGTTCCATAGTGAGCTGTTTTGCGACTCTTGTCTTAAAATGAAAATACTGTTGCATCTTTACGATATTTAAAACTTATTTTTATACCTACAATTATTATATTCACATAACAGATGTTGATCGTGTTACAGCTATTGATGTTTCGATACGCGTTAAGAAACGACCTGTTATGAAACACTTAATCAGATACGTGCCGTTGCTTGGAGAATACCGTTAAATTACCTGTGTTAATGACGAATCAACAATTTCTTTGTTATAAATTATTGTATTAACATAGAAACTTAACCACAGAATGAAAATAGAAAATATTGTAGATAATTGAACGTTCACCAAAACCTCATCGCGAACGCAAATATAAATGGAACTAACTGTGAAGATAGTGTTTCATCGGTGTTGAGGCAGAGGAATGACAGTAGTGTTTTATTATCTTACCGCGTGTTGTAATCCCTACGGGGTTAAAAATGTATGTAGAGTTTGAAGGTGTTTATAAATCGTTAGAATAATTAGTATTAATATAGTTTCTATACATGCAAATCAGCGACATCCAATGTAAATCCGGATGTAGAAATGAAATGCCACATTGAAACAATCCTGCTCTCCTCTGACAAATGGAGTCATAAATCGGTAAACATCACTCTCCGGGACCAACATTTTTAAAGTTACCTCTTTAGTGTGCTTCTATTTAAAACAAAATAAAATAACAAAAAGCATGGCTAAGTGATACCAACAGTGACTTTTAAAATAACATGGAACACAAAAATTGACTAGCAATTCATTCTATGAACGGCTCACATAGAACGAGAAAATATAAAATCTTAAAAAGTTAGTAAACTTTAAAAACTTTGACGGATGTTAAGAGATGATCATTATTCATCCTAGTTTAATGTAGAGATGGAAAAATAATAAATGATTCAGTTGTCATATTTTTGAAATAACCCCCAAGATTACAGGAGCACTTGAGGTACATTTAGATAGGTCGGATTCGTGAAAGAAATGTCTTAACTACTGTTGTAGACGTCAGCGAATAAGTGGGAGATCGTGTTTACTACTTATCCCGATGTGTTCCAAAAAGTGAGAATTTTTAGGCTTCTCCGAAGTGATATATAGTTTTAAATTACAAGGACAAGCGGTATTTGTTGAAAGATCGGTTGTTTTTAATTTTCTACAATGTCATTGTTTCTTTCTTAATATTCTTGCGTGAATTTTTAAATTTTGCATGTTGTCATGACTTCAGTTCTAATTTTCTTTTGAAAAACTGCCTTTATTTCCGTTATCGTTTTGTGACTCTTCTCTTTGTATAATCCATTCTTATTATTTTTTCATTGACTCCTGTTTATTTATCGGATTCAAGCGTGAAAAAAATTCATTATTTACAAAATGTTTTCATCGATTTACTAGCATTCACAGAATATGTTATTGGTTGCTTTTAGAGTTCACCGCGAAGCGAAGGAGGCTATATATTTAAGTACTGGTTGCTGCTTCTGTGCGCGCGGTGTTTCCGTTCCTTCACGAACTCCTCCACGCGGCGCAATAAAACGGTCGTCTGTTCCGATGTAAACGTCTTTTTGATGTGTGTTGCAGAGGCCCATTCAGCGTGGTGAGGAGATGCATCCACCGGCAGACGAACCAACAATTCGCGGTGAAGATCGTGGACGTTGCCAAGTTCACGTCGAGTCCTGGTCTCAGCACGTCAGGTGAGTTCAGTAAAATCGACTTAAATGCCATCGATTGATTACCGTACACCGTTCTGCCCTCCGTCGTTTATAGTATTGTACCGTACTAAAGGGTTAAATTTTAACTTTTCCATCACATTTATGTTTTTTAATTTGGTAATATTTTGTATATACTTTAAAGAACTGAATGATGATCGGGAAGAAATGGGTAGATCATTATTTAAATTTCACGACTGCGTGGTTCTGGTGTCGCGTGTGTTTAATGAAATTTAGAAGTAATTTGTTTTGAGATTCGATAGAGACATAATTACAACTAAGCGCAGAAAATGTTTTGGAGCTAGTGAGGGAGAGCAACTATGGTGAAACTGCTACTAATCAAAAACAATTTTTCTAGGAGTTTTAATTGAAAATACATTTTATAACCAGCACTGAAAAGATTTTGTGGGCTTGATTATAATTTGCAATTTTTTTTTCTGTTGGGTACCTACGTAAAGGTTTTGATCGGTGATCATATTGAGATTTTACATCGGTGAAAATGGTACAACCAGCTTATTAACCATGAATGTGCATGAAAACTAATTATATATTAAATCCATATTTCTTAATATTTTTTTAAAATTTTTTTTTGTTTCCAAATCGTATAAAAATGTAAAATCTGGCAATGACCATTGGTGTTCTTATTAACATATTATGCTCTTATGCTGTGTGTTAATTCATTCGAAGAGCATATGGCAAACGTTTTCTCCATTTCATAGTGTGCAAATGCTGTCATTAAAAGTTTTATTTTGTCCAATCCACATTTTTTAGTCATTAAACCATCTTATGAAGGAATGGAACAGAATAACATCACCTAAAAAGCTATCACTCATGTCACTTCCTCTCTTCAAATTGTAGTTCCGCTAATGACGAGTGAGATACGCAACTGTGAACCTTCAGGAATATAACAGTTATCTAGTTAAGCCCAGTATCCCTGATGGAAATCCTCATTAGAAAGAAACTCCGGAGAATCACTCGTTAATTTAAAGTTGCAGACGCTTCCACAATTCTTACAGTGTTCTCCGCGGCCCTCAGCCATTGTGCGTATTTTTGCTGCGCACTCCCGAAATAAAACTGGAAATGCTTCCCGGCAGCGGCGGGGCCTTTCGCCGCCTGGAAATGCGATGCGGCGGGGCGCGGGGCGCGGGGCGCGGGGTGGCGGGTCGAAGAGGGGTAAGCGGGGAAACGCGGTGAGCCCGCTTCCTGAAGAATTGTTGAAGTCCGCGAGACCGCGTCGTCTTCATTGTGCTGGGGAATTCCTGAGAGCGGTCGCCGGCCCTCTCCTCAGAATTCCAGGCCGTGTCTACAGTCTTTGCGGCGCCGTCGCGCTCTCCGCCGCCCCCTCCTTCGCCTGCCGCCCGGCGCTCCTCTCCGCCGCGGCCGCCTGGCGTTCGCCCTGGCAAGTTGACGGCGCTGAACGCTGCAGACTATGCGAGATATTTCATTCTTTGGGACGAGCGGCGGGGGAGGGGGCAGGCGAAGGGCTGAAGCGGGCGGAGATGGAGAGGGTTGGTGAGGAGCGATGTGGATAGGGAGGAGTGAGCCGGCGGAGATGGGACGGTTGGGACGGTGCTTGGACGGTTGGACGGACGGTTGTGGCGACGGTGTGGACGGATGTGGGACGGTGTGGGACGGGGCGGGACGGCGGCGGACGGGACGCGGCGGGATCGGAGGCGGGACGGCGACCGGGGCGCGAGGGACGGGACGGCGACGGGGCGGCACAGGGCGGGCGGGGACGGGGCGGGACGGGCGGGGACGGGCGCGGGACGGCGGTGCGGGACGGCTGCGGGCGGACGGACGGCGGCGGGTACGGGGCGGCGACGGCCGGCGGGCGGACGCGGACGGGGCGGACGGTGCGGGACGGGGCGGGACGGGGCGGGACGGGGCGGATAGGAATAGGGCGGGGCGGAGAGGCAGCGGCTAGGTGCTGGGCGATCAGTCGACGAGGGGAGGAGGTAGCGAAGGAGACGACAGCTTTGCCTCCGCCACCTCCCGTTTTATTAGCTTTCACAGAAGACTTCCCCTCCACCTCCAACCCCCACTGCCCCACCCTGCAGCATCCGGCGCAAATTGAAAGACTGTGCTGTGCTCGTCGATGACGTCTGCGAAAGAAAGTGCAGCTAATGGTTCGTTTTATCCCAAACAGAAGAGGGTTTTATGAGTTTATGTAAGAAGAGTAAACAGTGGGAGCACATGCTGTGAAACAGTTCCGGTGACTTTGAATAACAAGCAACTTTAGAAGCGTAACTATTTATTTCCAGTAGTATCGACTGTGAGCACATGTTCCCCTCTGTGTACTCTTAGGTACGGACAGAAGTAGAAAATGTGTTAAAAAATAATAATTCATGTTAATGTACTTCGCCGTACGAAAATAGTCTTGAGTTGTTGGAATTAAAAATTAAATTCAACAGATATATCTTACACAACATACCTGGACGCCTATGTATGTAATTCTTGATATAGTACAGTTTTCAATTTTTTCCATGTGCAATGGGCCCTGTCTACTGTACTCTTATGATCTTTAGTATGTAATTTTACTCTGTCAAGGGTAATTGTTGGAAGGAGATGTCCTAATTAAAAATGTTTTATTAAATGTCTCTGTCTTATTAAATGTTGTTGCCTTTGTTTTCTACATGAAAGAGTACTTTTGACTTCAACTGTATACAGAGTTTTGAAATTAGACGTAACAATCCGGCATTAATACATTTTTAAAACAATGAGAATAACGTAATCTGTAAATAGCGATTGAATCGTTATTTAGAACACGTTATCAAATTCCAGCCCGTTCTAACAGACTAACGATACTGCCACATTACACACAATGCCACACATTTTTATGAATACGAAAGCATTCAATTCCCAAGAAAGTAATTCTTTCAACCACATGGAAGTCAAACGAAGCTTCCTCAGCGTTTCGATGTCTTGCAAGGGGCATTAGTTTTCCTCAGATGAAACATTACGGAAACGGCCATAACTCTCTAAAATGTTTTCCTTCCCTTTGTCCGAATTTTATTGCGAGCGAGAAACATTCTGAATTGCGCAGTGCCTTTCCCACCCCTCAATTCACGATTCTTTGTGCAAAGGAGCACATCGTTGCCACGATTCAACACATTTTTTCAAAGATCGAGTTTCTTGAGTTTACATACTAGGTGCGGTAAAATTAATCATGTTCGTTATGAATGTGTAAATTGGGAACGGTTTGTAAATGTAAAGTCCTTCAAATTGTTTGTTAGTTCTGTGTATTTACTTCTTAAATGAAAAGCATCCTTTTCGCTTTCATTGGCTGTTGTATTTTGCTGTTTTTATGGTATTAGACTTCTGAGTATGCTGTTTAAACGACACTATTTAGTGCATAAAGAATTTTTAAGGATAAACAAAATTAACTAAAATGGGAGGAAGGCAAAATAATTCAGCACTTGTGTAGAATGAGTAATTGAAGCAATGTACGTGTATCTCTTTTTTTCGCTTTTTTCGCTTTTCTCTTTGCGAAAAAAAATATAAGGGCGAATATTTCAGTTTGGGGCAATAAGCAGGTGAAATATTAGTGAAACATAAGATGGATAGGGGTAGACCGGATTGGAGAAAGAGAAAATGGGAGCCAGAATTATGCATTATAAAATGTGATTTTCCACATCTGTTACGAAACGTCAGACTTCCCGAAAATGATACCACTGTCGTAATAAGTTATTACGAGACCATGCCCTTCTGTCAATTACAATCGATATGCCATTTTTTGTAGGACAAATAGTCAAATTTAAAAGAAAATTTTGTTTTATTGGCTTTTTACCAAGTGCATAAAACGCGCAACATTCGTTTTGCAATGCATTACAAAACTTGTGTCGTAAATAACAATTTCTCCGAAAACTGAGAAACGGGGCAAGGGGTATCACCGGGACACGCAGTGGAGACGGTTCGCTATGGTGCTGTAGCGTCCGCTAATTAGCGGCTGGCAACGCCGCAACAGCGGTCCAACGCAGATACCTCGCAATTCTGGAATGTGCTCACCGTAGGGAGGAGGGCGGAGGTCAGTCGAACGGTCGCAGAGCGCGAGGGAAGGCTATCTGCGCAGGCGCTGCGCTGGGTGCATCTGGAGCGGGGCGGGCCGAATGGGTTTGGGGGCACACAATGGCTGCCCGCTCGGGATCGTCGCGTGGCTTTGGGGCGTTCGCTTTGGGGCGCAGCGACGCGGTGGATTTTGTTTCGGAAACCTCCTCCTTTGTCGCGAGGAGGCCAGGGTGCGTGGGAGACCTCACGTTTGCGGGTTCTGAGTGTCCGTGTTGTAGAATATGTTCGTATTGCCTTGACAGAATTTAACTGAGAGTTGACGCTCCAATGGTGAATGGAACTGCTCACGGAGACGTTTTTGGCATTTAGGGGCAGATCAGATTAATTCGTCTGATAACGGTGCTCCCAGGTTTGTGCCCTGTTTCCGTTTATTATCCAACAGAGGAGACCGGTGGCGAGAATGACGTATTTCCATCACCGCCCCTAACTTATTAGGCCTGCCTGAACTTTATCACGCTCACAGTTATAGAAATGCAGACTATTTGCACTGACGTGGGGCTGGCGTTGTTCGGGCTGGCGTTGTTCGGGCTGGCGTTGTTCGGGCTGGCGTGGTTCGGGGCTGGCGTGGTTCGGGGCTGGCGTGGTTCGGGGCTGGCGTGGTTCGCCCTGCGAGGGCCGTGGCCGCCCCGGAGGCCTCCGCGCGAGTTCGCGTTTACGAGATGAGGCGCGCGCCCTCACCAGGGCTTCCCGCGCACTACTTCTAAAGAGTTAACAACGCGATCTATGGTGGATTTCGCCAAACTTGTAACGCAGGAGCAACTTTTGAACTAAGGCGGGCTCGTAATTTCTTGGCCCGGCGGTTGTATCTGCTCGTAGGGAGTTTGCGAGTTGAGACCTCATGCCGCGTTCTTGCTAACATCTTGGTGTGGGGCGGTGAGGGGAGGGGAAGCAGATACTCTTGTTTGTTTTTCGACGAGGTA